TTTTTAAAAATTCATATATATGTCTATTTGATTTCACCTGAACAATACAAATAGTGTATAATATATCCCTATTTAATTTCACATGAATAAGCTAATTGTAGTTGTAGATGAAATCAAATAAAGATATATTACATACTATTCGTATTGTTTAGGTGAAATCAAATAAATATATACATGGGTTTAAAAAAAAAAAGAAACTATTTGTACACATGATCAATGAGAGATGTAAAAATTCATTTTATAAAATGTGAGGAATGGAAAATTTTATTTTTTGAAATGTGAGGGACGAAAAAATTCATTTTGTAAAATGTGGGGGACGAAAAAATTGAATTATGTGAAATTTGATTTGGCAATTTTGCCCCTCAAAAATGATCACGTGCAAGGCACGTGGTGGATTTTGACAAAAAAACTAGTCGAAAAGCTAGGTAAGGACCAAACTTGATCAATGTAAATTTTTAAGGAACGTAAAATTATACTTTGAAAAATAAGGGATAGAAAAGTTATTTTACAAAATGTGATGGACGTTTTGAACGATTTTCCCATATATATTTTGATTGAGGTCGTTTTGATTACTTGATTTAATCAACTTTGTGTAATCCTTTTACATGTCAAGAGTAATCAATTTAACCCCAAAACAAGAGTCTAAACAATGTGAAGTTCACTATAGAACGGACTTACTTAATTCTATTTTTTTTTTTTGTACGAGTTGTTATTACACACAAAAAAGGGAAAAAAAGTTATGCCTTGAATATCCAGTAAAAATTATCCGCAAGTAATAAAGCACATTATTTGTTAAACTTGATTTCCAGCAATCAATTAAAAGAACTAGTATTTTTTTCCACTTTCATAACTTGTTTATTCTAGATTCTGTCGTAAAATTCCCAAGCAAGCTCTTTCCTACTCTAACTTCAAATTATTTTCTCTGCCAAATGTAAGTAATTTCAAAAAAAAAAAAAAAAAAAAGAAGAAGAAGAAATGAGCAGCCTATTTTAGTTTTTCTTTTTGTATCGACACTCGTGATTTTCGTTTGAGATGCTTAGCCAAAAGCAAAGTGCCAATTCTATTTGCAAAAGGTACTACGCTATTAATGCAAGTCTCTTTCAGGTTGAAAAATTCCAGTTAATGGTATGGCAACCTTAGTCAAGTTGCACATAATAATGATGATATGAGGACACTGGACATACTACTAAATTACGTAGTCTACATTGTTGCATTAAAACATTGGACCAATTAGTACAATTTAGGCCGTGGTTCTCTTGCAAAATTAATACATCCAAACAAGAAAAACATAAATGCTTGACAATACCCACATACACTAAAAAGAAAGATGGGATTGAGAGATATCATAGTCAGTGTAGGGTGAACAACAGACATTGTTTGCAAAAGGGCCAACAATAGTTAAGGGACCATTAGGCTTAAGTTGTATTGATTGAGACAGGACTCGAAAAAGGCTCCTTTTACAATCCAAGCAATCACACACTTCACAACACACTACTTTTTCATTCAAGTATTTATCGATGCGCACCTATCTTATCCTCATAAAGAAACCTATGGTCTTGGAACCATACCCTGATTCGGACGGTGATCGGAATCGAACTTGCTCAAACCTTTTTTTTTTTTTATTATCGGAAAAAAAAATCTTATCCTTAGTGAGATTCAAAGCGCATTCATTGCCCTTAAAATCAAGAAAAGGGAACAAAAAAGGAAGAAGACTCGAATCCGAAGGCCCTCGTGATTCATGAATGTCCCTTTATTGTAATGGATTTGATCTTAGTAATCACCCTTTCTTTCTAGTTTTTCTTGTTTTCTGTCTTTGGGTGTTTAAAAGTTGAAGAACAGAAGAGTAGTGTTATCTTATTTTAGAACCAGAACGTGCCACCAGAGCGTGCTAGAAAACTTATAATGATGTTTACAGATTGTCCAATTGACATTAGACTCAAATCAATTCAGTCTTGACTTCGCTATCGAGGATATAAAATCTTAGAGGTACCAAAGTTTAGTGCAACATTTGGGGCAAAAAAAAAAGGGTCCAACATAGATAACGCATAAGATTTGTTATTCATTGTACATTCTACGAGCCTCTTGTTAATGCAAATCATATAGCCTCTTTAATGCATGGATCGACAGATTCTGCAGATAAATTTTCCTAAACAGAAATGCAACCTAATTTAAATAAGCTCATGAAATGCCTTTCGCTACCAAACCCATTAATGGAATTAAGGCCCATATATGCATCCTTGGAGAAACTTCTGGGCCCAACAAATCTGGGACGGTATTTTAGAATAAACCAGGGTCCACATTGCTGTACTTGGAAAGCCCATAATTGTTTCCCAAAAATAAATTACAAATGAGAAGATCCACCTTTTTTATCTTTAGTTTTTCAAATTTTTCTATAAACTTGGGGCCTTTTTTTTTTATTGTAAATGAGAGGGTTCGAATTCGAAATCTCTCACTTACACTCCCTCCATCATCTCCCCCTCGAGTCCTCTTTTATAACCCCACTAATTGTTGAAAATTAATACATCAAGAGTTATTTTTATTTTTTGTTTCAGCATGTTTGATAATAATTACAACTCTGTCAAACTAATAACTTTATACATTCAATACTTAAACTCTAGATTTTAGAGTTAATAATTTAGATTTCAGTTTTATCAAACGGCTTAATCCCCTTGAAAATTGGGAGACGTGCTTGAGGCATTTGCTTTCCACTCTAAAACCAATGTCAATTATTACGTTTTAGTTATTGCCAACATATAGTCTATCAAATGAACGGTTAAATAGCTATTTTCGAAGCAAATTCTTACCTTGCCATGGCAACATTATCATACTTCCAAAGGTACGAACATTTGCAAGTCAGATCAAGTGACTTCTTTGTTATGGACAATTTCTATTAGTTACATCCATATCATGAATTGGTCAGACTGAATGGAGACAGAATAGTTGAAGACCCAATGCACAGAGTTGACCTGAGAATTGAGATAGGGTTGTCAGCCGATCCAAATGGGTCCCCAAAACTTGTGGCCAGAAATCCAGCAGACCAAACTGAACTCTCAAAAGGGTCCATCTTGGAGAGCTTTTGGATCCACAAAGTTCAATATTTCTCCCCAGTTTTGGTTGTGGCCTGTGGGTATTGTCTCGTTTTCTTATCCAAATTTGAAGGGCTGATGATGGACTTAAATCTTGGATATGATCAAAATAGGATAGATGGTCAGCAATTCTTTGATCCCTTATCAGGTAAGAGGAATTTTTACCAGCGCAGTTAAAATGATTGAATCATCAATGTTTAGTAATTTAGCAAGGCTAGTTCGAGCGTAATTAGGGGAACTAAGTGCATTATCTCAAGGAGTAAGAAGCTAATCCACCAATTAAGGAAGAAATGTGATTCACATAGTATAAAAGAGAATGATGAGGATAAAGAAATCCAATACCAGGAAGTAATCATATGTTTGAAATTCTTACATAATTTCTTCTCATTACTTGGTTTTCCGTAGTGGGCATGAACCGGCATTGAATGTTGCTATTCATCTTGAAGAACTTGACCAGTTTAATCATTTATTTTTTTTGATTGACTCCAACATAATTTTCCTGTTGGACTATGCCCACCTGAAATCAAATAAATTGTTCTCAACAATGATCATGTGCATTGATGGACCTATCTTTTTAGTTCATTATTATTCACATTGGTTTTCACCTATTCTTCCAAGGGAATCCACATTCCCAAAAGATTTGATAAAGGTTTGAATGGACTGAGTCCCTTCAATCTTGGGCTAAGTCAACCAATATACCTTGGGCTAAAACAATTTCTAGATTTTTATTTCAATCCAACCACAAAGTTGCTTTAATTAAAATATAAAAAATATATATGTTTTTTCTTTAATGGATTTTTTTTTAAATAAGTGTCCTCCCCTCATTACTACACTTACATTACATCTAAACTATCATATGAATTTGCACACTAACGATGATTATCCTGTATTGCATTTATATATTTTTCCTAATTAACATTACTTTTCTAGAATATAAACACCTGAATTCCATTTTAACATAGAACCTTCATTAATATCACTGCATTATTTCTTTTTGAGGGCAAATGATTAGTCCAAGTTACAGATGCACGTTTATACAGCTGATATAATTCAGATTTGTTCCAGTACAGCCCGTTATTATACAAAAGTTGTCGTTCTTCAATTGTTTTTGTAGATAATTGAAATTCATTAAGTAATTCAAAACTAAGAAAATTTAATTATTTACATAATAGACCCCTCCTAAAGGCTAGGTACTGAATTACAATTAAACTTTTAAGGCCGAGTATTATACCAGACACTCAACTAAATTAAAATACTCCAAATTAAGTCGAATTGAACAACTCTTTTGGTCTCTTTTTTTTTTTTTTTTACTTGGCAGTTTTTGTGGTAAACACAGTCTTTTTCTTGTTGACTGAGATGTTGACAAGTTCTTGTAAGTTATAGAAAATGATTAACTTTACATAAGAAGCTACTATCATGTCTTATGGGTAATCAAGTCACCTGATCAGATCATAAGATGAATTTTATATACTCATAGGGTGAAGATTTAACTTATTGTTGTGTGAATCATAATCCGCAACTTTGCTGAACATTGAATTTTGGGAGAATTGTGTCAAAAGATATGTATGTATTTTTTTTTTGAATAATAAGTCTATTTACAGCTTATACATAATTGCTAAACAAAGAAAAAAAAGTTATATTTGTTCTCAAATAGTAGGCTAGAAAAAATAAAAACCAATATTGCGGTGAATGTCTAATACACCAGTATTATACTTGAAAGCCTAATATCCGTTCACCATTTCTAGGCGTTGCTTTACCAGTAATTTTCAGCTTATCCACAGCCATAAATCTTTTTACTTTTGTTCCACTCAACCTCCTCTTTTAGGAAGAACAAAAAGTTTTTTCCTTTACAAAAACTCTTACTAATAATTGTTGAAAACAAATGTTTTAGTTTGTTTGTTGAACAACTACAAAATGTCGGAGAAAGAAATTGCAGCACTTGAAGAGGGAAATGCCTCAAGTTTTCCCTACAAATCAAATGAAAAAACTACTTTCTGTGCTTCAACTGATGTGGTTTTGATCATCCAAAAGGTTTGCAAATAATATACCTTTTTATTTCTCAATCCGATTGAAGTGAATGATACTGATATAATTTCTCTTTTCTTTTTTTTTTTGCCATTTTATAAGGTATTTGCTGAGGCAATTGGGACTTATTTTTTGATATTTATTGGGTGTGGTTCTGTAGCTGTTAACAAAATTTACGAGTCAATAACATTTCCAGGAGTATGTATAGCATGGGGTTTGATAGTAATGGTCATGGTTTATGCTGTTGGACACATTTCTGGTGCTCATTTCAATCCTGCAGTTACCATCACTTTTGCCATCTTTCGACATTTCCCTTATAAACAGGCAGGTTTCAAGCTTTGGCCCTCTCTTCATCTCCGTTAATATTGCATTTTTTAGCATAATACAAAATTTCCTTCTCTAAATGAGTAAATCTTATAGTTTTTCCAATTAAAATGATTTCTTGCCTTTGAGCTAGTCTAGCATGGCTCTACTTATATCCTGATATTGTTATGGCTAATTTCCAGCTACCCCTTTCTTAGAGCATGAAATTTGTAAGAGCAAATATGACACAATATGGTTTCTAACAAATAAATTACTGCAAAAAATTATGGAGATAGCTCTTCAATGTTATATTAATTCACCTTTTTTTCAAATAGATTAGAAATTTGAGCTATTTCCCTTAATGGATTTGCCAAGGTAAAACTGAAAAAATGTGGCGTTGAAGATTCTCAATATTTAATTTGTTGAAAATGGACTTTGCAGGTGCCTTTGTATATTGTGGCACAGCTGTTGGGAGCAATTCTTGCTAGTGGCACCCTATGTCTAATATTTGATGTGAAGGCCCAAGCGTTCTTCGGGACTGTACCAACAGGCTCTAATGTTCAATCTCTGGTCCTTGAATTCGTCATCTCGTTTCTGTTGATGTTCGTCATATCTGGTGTTGCCACAGATAACAGATCCGTGAGTTCAATTATTTGTATTCCCAAAACCGTTGAAGTTGCAGAATTATTTGTATTGAAAAATGCTTATGGCAGTAGGGGAGGATTGGGTTGGGTGGTAAACTAGTAGAGATTGTAAGTAAGAGATTCTGCATTGAAAACTTTCGACGCATAAACAAGAAAAAAAATGTTGATGGCACTCCCTTAGTTGGTAATGACACACTTTTTGACCTTTTGATTATGTTAATTAAATAGATAAAAAGACGAGTCCACCTATAAAAAACAACAGTTAAATAACACATTATCAAGCGATAAACATAAATATGGTAATCCTTAAAATAAAATCAAAAAAGTAGTTTATCCTTTAATTTATTTTTGTCGCTTAAGTTGTATGTCGTTTAGTAAAGGATTTTCCTAAAATGACACCTATTGTTCATTGACTTAACCATGTTAATTAAACAAAAATATCCTTATTGTTTATTGAATTTATCATCACCCCTTTGTATGAATTTATCCCCCCATATCACTAAAAAAAAAAAAGGTCAAAATGGGTGCTATTAACAAATAAGGTTTTGCCTTTACCACGAAAAAGGTTTTGCCTTTTTCCTACATTCCTACATTGTTCTCGTGCTAATAAAAGGTTTTGCCTTTACCACGAAAAAAACAATTGTTCTCATAATATTTTTAGTTAAAATTGACTGTAAACAACATATGTGGCTATACTCTAGGTTATATTAGTTAAAATTTTTCTATTTGCTCCAGACGTGTGAGTATTGTACTATTGCAACTTTAATTACTAAGGCAATTTTCCATATCACATAGTCCATCAATTTTCAGAAATTTACAGTTTTGTTACTTTTAGGCTTTAAATTGGACAATAAATGTTTATACTATGTTCCTCTGATGATTTTATTCCTTTTTTTTTTTTTAATATTAGATGGGATGAAGTTCAACCTGAAATGGTGGAAATTCTTTTTATTTTTGAACAAAATGCTAGTTATATTATTTTTTGCACTAATTACTTTCATCCCGTTTCACAGATTGGTGAATTAGCAGGAATTGCAATTGGAATGACAATACTAATCAATGTCCTTGTTGCAGGGTACTACAAATTTACTTTCTTCTCTTTTTTGTATAATTATGTGAGCTATGAAGCAACAATATCTTTGCTGCTAGTCAAATTTTTACCCTCATTTCTTTTCTTTTTTTTTTTTTTTTTTTAAGAAGATATTCATTTTCTTTTATCCTTTTTCCACTCTTAAAATGAATTGAAATATTGATGGCAGGCCAGTATCAGGTGCATCTATGAACCCAGCAAGGAGTATTGGACCAGCAATAATTATGAATGAATACAAGGGACTATGGATATACATAGTTGGACCTCTTTTGGGCACCATAGCTGGAGGTTTCACCTACAATCTGATTAGATTCACAGAGAAACCGCTTCAAGAATTAACCAAAAGCTCAACCTTTATGAAAAGCGTGTCCAGGGCCAGAACATAGGGCACCATTTTTAAGTTTCAATTCACTTAATTTTCCTTTGCCCGGTGCTCCAAGATCTTGTACAAGAGAGCTGCCAGTGGCTTACCGAAAAGGGTGGAAAATTTTGAGAATGAGGAGAAGGTATATATGGTTGCTTTATCTTGTCCAACTGTATTTGGAATATATTTGAGGGTGCCTATAATAAGTAGAATTCAAAAGAGTTGAGTTTAGTCGGATCACTGGTTTTTTTTTTTTTTTTTATTTTTTCTAGCAAGGAAGGAGTGGAATTTAAGAAGTGGAGAGTGGACGGGAGATTTGAATCCAAGACCTCTAATTCTGAAGGCCAATTTTTTGCTACCAATGAATGAGTGGGATTTAAGAAGAGGGAGGGTGTATGCGGATTTGAATTCAGGACCTCTAATTCTAAAGGTCTCAACCTTAGCCACTAGAGGATTGCCTGTTGTTATTTCATTTCTTGGAATTTTATTTTGTGACTTAATAAAGTAAAGCAAGATGAAGAAATTACGGACATAGAATGGGCATTGATTTGTTATTTTAATGCAATAAATAGATAATTCTATTTTATGGGTCCGTTTGTTTCGGGTGAAAATGTTTTCCAGGAAAATATTTTCCTAATTTCCCGTGTTTGGTTGCACAAAAGCTACTGAAAACATTTTCCTATGTAAAATATTTTCACTCATCTTATGGAAAACAACTTCCCTTCCCAACTTCCTGAAGTTGTTTTCCGAAATGCATGCATCTTGCCTGTAGTATGTTCCAAACTTACTGAAATCATCTTGCAGTATGTTCTTTTTTTTTTTTTTAGTGCAAACAGGAAGACTTGAACCCAAGACCTCTTCCTTACACTCCCTCCCCCGTACCACCCAACCCTCCCCCTAGTATATTCAAAATAAAAAAAAACCTCATCCTGCTCATCCTATGCTAGTAATTAATTATGTATAATAGGGACATTCTTTTCTAGAGAAACTTTCAGCAGTGAGAGTGCAAGATAAATGTCACAATAAGCATTGCATGTGATTGATATTTGACACTAAATGGCCAGCAATTTATTTATTTGCTTAAGGAGATATTTTTTATTCATATATACCTTTCTCCAAGATTTTTTAAAGTTAAACAATGAGATAAATTTTCTTATTTTGCATGGGAAGAAGTATGTAGTTATAATGTGTAGAAAGTAAAGATAGAGATAAAAGTGAAAATATTTCAAAAGTTAAACAAACACCAGAAAAATAAAGTAAGAAAATATTTTCAATAAGCTAACCAAACACCTGAAAATGATGAAAGGGAAATGATTTTCATGGAAAATTACTTCCACGGAAAATATTTTCCCAAGGAAAACATTTTACTTCCAACCAAACAGACCCTATGTGTGATTCTTTTTCATTTTTTTGGTTAAAGTTTTCCCACCTTCCCTCCTAAAAGCCTGGATTATGTACAGACAAGACAAGATTGTGATGATGTTTAAAATCTAAACCATGCTTGAATACAACAATGAGGAATCCAAACACAGAATCTTTGGATGTGAAATTTTTCTCAACTTTGGCCATCTACTTGACTTCTAACCTATAATTGCAGTACAGATAATGTCTGTGGCCTTACATAGCAAGTCTATTTTGGGAGGGCACTTTCAGCTTATAAAGTTTTCCCAATGGTGAAGGGTCTCCAATGGACAAGGAGCTTGGCAGCTAGAATAAGTCTAATTGGAGAATTCTTAATGGATTACATGATTTATTTTTCAGATTCCCATCAATGTAGAAAAACAAAAGTGTAATTAAGGAGTATGTAATGAATGAAATTATACAGAGACAAGGTTTATAATGAACGAAATTACTTTCGCATGAATTGACTTGGTCTCAACCAATTTTATTTAACCAAATTGTTGAAGTCACAAGATTTGACTTGGCTTCAACCAATTTTTATCTTCTGTGACTTTTGTGGACTAAATAAATATTCCTAAGACAACTAATTAAAAACCCTTGACTGCCTCAGGATGAGATATTATGGAGCGGTGAGAATAATGATCTCACGGGATGCTTCTGTTAAAACTTTGAAATACTTCAGAATGGCTTCCCATACTTCTGTCTTCTTCTCTCATGAATCCATAAAAGTTTCTTACCAGTAAAATATAAATACATAAGCAAACACATGGATTCACATGCAAATTAACTAACAGAAGGGTTCTCACATGGCTGCAAATGCGACCATATATGTTGTCATATAGAAAATGGCTGCTATTGAATGCACGTACTGCAACTAACATGTCATAATCTAAATGACATAAAGGATTGACAAACTGCACCATACTCCTCTGAGCCCCACCTCCTCCTGTGATGACTGATGCCTTGAACTTTCTACATATAAAATAATTTTAAGTACATTAAATTGTTCAATAAATGGATGTTCTTATTAATAGGGAGAAACACCTCGAGAGAGTCCACCAAATAACCCAATATGTAAGTCAGGAATCCAATTTTGATCCAAAAGTTTAAGTCATTAGGTCTCGGACACTTACTTACATATTAACCGTTCTTTCTCTATCTCTCGGACCAAGGTGGGACATAACCCTTTACTCATGAACCTAACACTTACATTGTCAATGTAGTTTTTTTTTTTTCTCAATACTAACGAGTCTAAATGCATGACATACGATTTCTGGTTACATTTCAGACAGAGAAAATGAAAACTTAGAACTGGAAAAGAATATTTTTTTTGCCAAGGGTAATGATTTTGATAGGCAATTAATATATGGTTTCAGTAAAAAAAAAAAAAAGGCAAAAAAAAAGAAGCTAATCCTACTTTACTGGCCTGATTTTGCTTGCTGCAATTTTTATGATTGCTTTGAGCGTGCCTCAAAAGGATTTGAAGCCCTTTTTCAATTTTTTTTTGAAATCTTTAAAATATTGTCCTGATTATGAAGCTGCTCCAAATAAGTTTTCTCAACTTAAAATTCTTCAAAAACAGAATTAAATTGGATTAAGACAGTTGAGAGATTAGATCTCAAAATTTCAGAACCAATTAAAACTGGCCCTAGTTTAAGTACACGAAGACTCCTCACCTATCTTTGTGTTTGGCAATCATTAGTTTTGCTGCAATATATATATGCCCACAAGAGATTTTCATACTAATTAATGTGGGAGTTAGCTCTTTCACCAAACCTGTGGATTAGGTCTTGTAATACAATAGTACTGATGCCCACATGGGTAGGGTCTCATCTATGAGTTTTCAATTGCAACCAGAGTGTAATCACCTATTTGTTCCCATTTTCATGAAATCTCGTTCCTTCCAAATTACTCAGTTTATATGTTTCAGGTAGGAGGAAGAAACTGGTCAGGGCAGATGTGGTTAGGGTTCCGATGTTTGAACTTTGTAGGAATAGAATTAGAATTTTAGGGGTATATATGTTGGTCCATCTCTCCGTCCTATTCCACGATATTACTATCCTTGGAATACAATTTTTTGTCCAATTGATGCCTACAGCTTACAAAAGAAGCACCATAAATGACAAACTATTTAAATTTTGATTTTCTGGAGCAATATTGACATTATATATAGGTAGTCTTTGATCAGGGACTTCGATTTATTATATCCACCTACCTTAATTTATTATATTCATCATTTTTTTTTCTCCTTTTGGAACTCAACATGGATAAAGTGACTTCGCATTTGTGGGTCGGAAATTTAAAGTGGCTTCGCATTCAACAAATGTGAGCTCAGGAGTTCGCATTTGCTGAATGCGAAGACCCCTTGGATGAAATTCTATACTCAAAATGCTCTCTTTGCATAAATTTTTTAAAATTCATCATCATTTTGGAAATTTCTCCGGAGTTTAACTAATTCTAATTACCACAGACAGTAAATTCCAATCCTTAGAGCTCTAATGATTCAACGTTACAGTTAGATTTTGAATGGATATTTGCTCTAGTAATAGGGAAAAAAAAGGACTTGAACAATTTATTTTCTTTTTAATTTTTTAGCTAGTTTATCTATTCGAAGTTTAAGAAAGGTAAATAAGCAACTCTATATTTTTGTCCTCCAGTTTTCCAGGGCAAGTCAGAGACTCAAAGATGCACTGGAAGTACTAAATCGCTGCCGGAATATTATGCATACATCACTTTCATTTTGGACCTGGACCACCATTGATAAATGACTAAAATTTGTTCTACTCTAAAAGTTTTTAGACACTACAAATCAATAATTTCCCCAAGTTGGCACAGTGAACAAGTCTAGGAATCTGTAAATCACATTGAAAGATGGAAATTTGTTGAAAAAATGATTCTTTTTTTTTTTTCTGTGCCGGATATTTTTCCGTGTCGAACTTGATTAATGACGCTTAGCATCTGTAACACAACCAAGATTGCTATATAACAAAACCATAAGTGATATTCTAAATATTTTTGATGAAACTAAGCCAAAAAGAAAATGCAATTTCAACAGTAAATATGAGTTTCTACTAGTAAGAAATTCGAAAAATTAGAAAAAAAAAAAAAAACTTTGTAAAATTTTTTCTTGGTTCTGGCAAAACAAACACATTATCTTACTTCTTCAAGTTTTGAACAATCGCATGCAAAGATGGACCACAAGGGGTTCCTAAGCACGAGTCAGTTGGGACCATTCGGTGATAGAATAAATAGGGTTTTAATTTGGAGGAGGGGCTAGATCCAAGCACGGCGGAGAGAGGCTTGTACTTGGTGGTGCAAGCTTCATTTTGGGGGATCAAATTTCAACTTCTACACGGTGGCTTGGGGCGGTGGCCGTCCCAAAAAGAATACAATTGTCGGGTATGGTGAGACATGCACATGTTCCATGCATGGAGGCCAAATATTTTGGATTGTTCTTGTTTTATTCGCCAAATACCATGTTATGTTTGTGCATGGATTTCTTGGTTGTTGGGGTTTTGGTGATCAAACCATTATGGTTTGCTCGGATCAAAGGTTTACAAAATGATAGAATCTAAAGAAAGCAACTTAGCTTAGCTCAAGATTTTGGTGGCATGGGAACATGCAACATTACCAATTTTTTGATATAAAACACAAATGCAATAGTGTTTGGTCGTGCATTTGTGTACATTTTTACTGTTGGATATATTTGATAATACATTAGCACGTGATTTATGTATGAGATGCATTTGTGCAATAATGAATCGCTTTTTACTTATGCTAATAACCCTTTTAGACACCTTTGTTTATTGGGTTTGTTGGAGCACCGATTAATTAGGGTCTTCAATGTTAGTTT